ACAAAAACCACACAAGCCCGCATACAATGCCAACATGCAAATTGAAGGCCGAATAACTGAAATCTCGAGGCAAAATAGAACAAACAAAGAGCGTCATCGGCCTACCAAATCATTCCTAAATCAAGCCACAATAACAAGTTCTTCACCTAACTCTAGGTATCGATTCTCCAGAAATAAAATAAAATAAAAGGCAATGAGAACACACCTGGATACGCAAGTAGATACCGCGAGAGAGGTGAAGAAGTGGAAGAAAACACCCCAAGTCGCCGGAAAACACACCGGAGACTCGCCGGAGAACTCGCCTCCGGCGACCCAACCTCAGCCAAACAAGCCCAAACCTTTGGGGATTGTGCTCCTCGACGCCAGGAGCGTGGGGGCCGTCGCGGTTTGTGATTTGGAGGTCGGGAAAGGAAGTTATGGCCGGAAAATCGAAGGAGAAGAGGAAAAATCCGAGTTTCTGGCGAGAGAGGCGGTTGGAATTTAAAAAAAAAAAAATCTGGTGGGAGGGAGGGCTGAAAATCGACTTTTATAGGGGGGAGGTCAAAACACGGGCGGGCTGGAACACGGCCGTGTTCGGCGTGCTCCGCGCCCGTGTTTTTACTGCCGCGCCCGTGTTTCCCCCCTTTGAAAACACGGGCGGGCTGGGTTCAAAACACGGCCGTGTTTTCGAATCCCAGCACCCGTGCTTTTAGTGCCGAGAGCTCTGCTGGCCAATGTTTAAAACACGGGCGGACAGGAGGGAAAACACGGCCATGTTTTCCTCCCCTGGCGCCCGTGCTTTTAGTGCCGAGCCCAATCTGCATTTTTTTAAAATTCCAATTTCAAACCACCAAGACTCATTCGTGCCCCGGCTCTAAAATTTACCCAATCACACATTAAAACGAACCGCCCAAGGCACGAAATACTTTCCAGACAGACTCAATGACTAAAAAACCGACAAAATTGACAAAAAAAAACAAAGGGTAGAAATGCAAACCGTGGTGGGGTTGCCTCCCAACAAACGCTTCTTTACCGTCTTTTAGCTGGACGCCCATGGCGGAACTAAGGGTCCACAAAGTCTACTGCCAACTCCGCACGTTCGACCTCGCCTCCCAAATAGAGTTTGAGACGATGGCCATTCACTTTAAATGGTTCAGTCTGTGGGTTGGCAATCTCGATCGTGCCATACGGGAACACCTGTGTGACCGTGTACGGTCCAGACCACCGGGAACGGAGTTTTCCGGGAAAGAGCTTCAGGCGAGAGGTATAAAGGAGAACTCGATCACTAACCTGGAACTCTTTCGGACCCCGCAACCGTGCATCGTGCCGGCGCTTAGTGCGCTCCTTGTATAGCTTGGTGTTCTCATAGGCGTGATAACGCCACTCCTCAAGCTCCAGCATCTGCATTTTTCGCTCAACACCTGCAGCACTGACATCCAAGTTTAGCAGCTTAAGGGCCCAGAAGGCCTTGTGCTCTAGCTCCACGGGAAAATGGCATGCCTTTCCATAGACAAGCCGGTACGGTGAAGTACCAATGGGCGTCTTGTAGGCAGTGCGGTATGCCCATAGAGCATCATCGAGCTTGGTGGACCAATCCTTGCGGGATAGATTCACCGTCTTCTCCAGGATACGCTTGAGCTCCCGGTTCGTCAGCTCGGCCTGGCCACTTGTTTGAGGGTGGTAGGCCACGGAAACCTTATGAGTTATACCATAGCGAGACAACAACTTATCGAAATGGCCCTGGAAATGGGTGCCTCGGTCGCTTATGATGGCTCTAGGTTTCCCGAACCAGGAGAATAGCTGCTTCATAAAACCACACACAGTAAGATCCATCGTATGAGCCTAGGCTTGGCATCGGCCTTGCTCATCAGGTATCGAATCGCGGAGTGATCTGTATACACAGTCACATGGGACAAGACCAGATAAGGACGAAATTTATCGAAGGCAAACACCACCGCGACCAGCTCCTTCTCCGTGGTGGTGTAGTTCTCCTGGACATCATTCAGGGTATTCGAGGCGTAGTAGATAGGTCGGAAGTGTTGATCTCGCCTCTGCCCCAATACAGCTCCAACACCAAAGTCACTGGCATCGCACATCAGCTCAAATGGCAGGGACCAGTCAGGAACAACCATGATAGGAGCTTGAGTGAGCTTCTCCTTCAAGGTCGTGAAGGCCGCTGTGCATGCATCAGTGAACTGGAAGGGGGCATCCTTCTCAAGAAGCTTAGTCAGTGGCAGGGTGATCTTCGAAAAATCCTTGATGAACCGCCTGTAGAACCCTGCATGGCCTAAAAAACTCCGGATCCCCTTAACAGATGTAGGAGGAGGCAGCTTGCTGATAGTCTCGATCTTTGCTCTGTCCACCTCAATCCCCATCTTATAGATATTATGCCCCAAAACTATGCCTTCGCGAACCATGAAGTGGCACTTCTCCCAACTAAGTGCCAGGTTCGTTTCTTCACACCGTTTAAGGACGAGTTCCAGGTTATGGAGACAGTGAGAGAATGAGTCTCCGTAAACCGAGAAGTCGTCCATAAACACCTCCATAATCTCGCTGACCAGACGGTCAAAGATGGTGAGCATGCACTGCTGAAAAGTGGCGGGAGCGTTACATATCCCGAACGGGATCCTCCGCTAGGGAAATGTGCCGAAGGGACAGGTGAAAGTGGTCTTCGCCTGGTCCTCCGGTGCAATGGGTATCTGGAAGTACCCGGACATCTCATCCAGGAAATAGTAGAATTCGTGCCCCGCCAGTCTCTCCAGCATCTGGTCGATGAACGGTAGCGGGAAGTGGTTCTTCCGAGTGGCGTCGTTGAGATGCCGGTAATCAATGCATACACAGTACCCAGTCACCGTGCGCATCAGGATCAACTCATTCTTCTCGTTAGGCACCACAGTCATCCCACCCTTTTTGGGTACCACCTGGGTGGGACTGACCCACTCGCTGTCAGAAATGGCGAAGATGATCCCCGCGTCCAGCAGCTTCACGATCTCTGCGCGAACCACAGCCTCCAGGTTCGGTGTCAGTCTTCTCTGCGGCTGTCTCACTGGCCGCATCTCATCCTCCATCAGTATCTGGTGGGAGCAGAAGGAAGGGCTGATCCCCCGGATATATGTGATCTTCCACGCTAGAGCACGCTCGTGCCGCTTCAGCAAGCCACCAGTCTGTCCATCTGCTCTGGTGTGAGGGACGAGCTGATGATGACTGGAAGCTTATTCCCCTCCTGGAGAAATGCATACTCCAAGTGAGGAGGGAGGGGCTTAAGCTCCAACTCTGGTGGTTCCTCCAAGGAGGTAGGGACGCGGGGTGAGGATGAGATCGGTTTGAATAGCCGGTCGCCCTCCAGGGATGTGCCACTCTCCAGCTCGGCCAACTGCTCTGCCAGCTGCGGCTCCTGCGATGCCTGCTCACCTAGCAAAATACAACGCTCAAGAGCATCGTCAGTACCCGCACTCGTTATAGCGAGTGCGGTCTCAAAATCAGCAAGCACATCACAATAATCTATGTCATCATGCAAATGAGAGTGTTTCCCATTCTCAGACACAGAGAAAGTAGCATGTTCATCACTAGCACGTAGAATCAATTTACCACTATGCACATCAATAAGCGCCTTGGCGGTGGCGAGAAACGGTCTACCCAAAATCAAAGGTACATCCACATCCTCATTTATATCCAAAATAACAAAGTCAACAGGATATGTGAATGCACCCACATTAACAAGCAAATCCTCAATGATATCCCTAGGATGCACGATGGAACGATCAGCTAACTGAATGCTCATCCTAGTAGCTCTAGGTTCACCTAGGTCTAGCTTTTTAAACAATTTGTAGGGCATGACATTTATGCTAGCACCTAGGTCCGCCAAGGACTTTCCTACATGCATGCTGCCAATAACAAGAGGGATAGTGAAACTCACTGGGTCTTTACGCTTCTCGGGCAGCTTGTTCTGCAGGATAGCAGAACACTCCTCGCTCAGCATCACTGTCGAAAGATCCCCAAGTTTCTTCTTGTTGGTGAGGAGTTCCTTCATGAACTTGGCGTACTTGGGCATCTTCGACAGTGCCTCCACGAACGGCATGCTGATGTTGACCTGCTTCAACATTGCTATGAATTTGGCAAACTCAGTCTCCAGCCTGTCTTTATGTAGGCGAGTGGGGAAAGGAAGCTGGGGTACATGCTCCTTAACCACTGGCTGTGGCTTGGGAGCGGGTGCTTCTTCGTCTCCCCCCACTTCTGCATTATCAGCTGGCAGTGTTGAAGTAGGTGGTGGCTCATCTTGGTTGGACTGTAAATTCTGTCACGTAATAGCTATGTGGTCTAATGAAACCAAGCTTGACTTGTATCTTCAAGCACATTGGTTCAGTCCATAGGACCATACATATAATATCTATTTTGCTTACCAACTTTTTATACTTTATTAATTTAATCCCCTACAATTCCCCAAACTAAATAGTAACTCCCTATTTATTGTGAGAGATTACAAATAAAAGACCACCTCTTTTATTTAGTTTAATTAATTCCAAGTCTCAATTTCTATTATCGTTCACAAAACTAAACGGAAAGAGCGATAGCCAAAAGTTTTAGTTTAGATGCTAATTTGAGTGATTTCAATAATCTCAAAGAACGTCATGTATTTCTAAAAGAATTATAATTTTTGTATTTAATTATTTTCGGCCCCCAGTCTCGAAATCCTAGCTCCGCCCCTATAACCTGTCAAATTTTAATTTAACATATAGTGAAAACTCACACATTTATGAAACATCAATATTCAAATGTTCAACTTAGAATTTTAAAGATTGGGTTAGCTGAAAAGAAAAACTAGAAAATAGACTCATTTCAAAAACTACAGGAGGAAAAAACGACACAATATGACTTTCAACCCAATATCTTACTGCGATTGACCCAACGAGTATGTGCGACCCATTTTTTTCATCCGGTCTGGATCAAAGTTGATCAACTTATGAATGGACCCGCGAGTTGACAACCTTGTGTATAACTCTGCTTTCTTTCCCACGGCTTCCGGAGTTTCCCCGCGTTTCTTCCCCTTCGTAGTCAACCTGGCGGCAGCCCAAGTTTGACTCTTGCCGTTCAGAATGCTCTTCTCTTCCAGAGGAAATTGGCAGTTAGAGAGAATGAGAATCCAACTGACGGCCGGCCGGCCGCATCGCCTTCCGTTCTCCCCCCGTCTTCGGCCGTCGATCTCGACCATCGCGCCGCGTCGCATTCCCTTCTCCCTGTCTCGGACGTCGATCTTCACCCACCCCGGATAGTGAAGGTCTTCCCTTTCTGTTGGCGGCTAGCCAAGGTCTCTGGATTTAGGAGAAGAAGAGACGCTGCAATTAGCAGCTGCCGTCTGTTGTAGTCAAGTTGCCTAGCCGGAGAATGACGACGAATGCGCAGCCTCCATTTCCAGGTTATAAACAAAGATCTCTTAATTGGACCTGATCCTTTTATCGTCAATTAGCATTCATCCTTTTCATTGGATTTCAATGCTTGGAAAATGGCGTCTGATGTCCAAACTACAAATTTGTAGGGACTAAATAACATTGCAGCAAGCATTGAGTATTGATCACAAACCTGTTTTTATACTTAACGATTTCTGAATTCTGACCATTCTCATGTTTGTAACCTCTCATTTTCTATACCATGTTTATGGGAAGTCATATCAAGGGAACCATGAGAAGAAAATTAGTGTTAATATGGTTGGTTTTGTTGTTCTTAGTGTACTATAGATGTTCACCGAAGAAGCCGAGGATTAGAAGGATAATTTTCTCTCCATATTCACAGGTGAATCTTTTCTCTGTACAAAGATTGGTGAAGTTCAAGAGTACTAAGATAAGTGATGAGCTTGACAAAGGCAACGTCGATTCACTACTTCTACCCTTTGTACTAGATATGTCATAAGGGGATGTGGACCTACAGCTTCTTCAACAACGTCCACAGCTTGAACTCCATGTGATCCATGAAACCAAAATACAACTCTCTCCAGGGTCTGGAGAATATTATAGAACCAACTATGCCCCAAAACCCAACCAAAAAACCAGCATATATGCTTCCGGAGAACCAAACCAAGCCATCCTCACCAGAATCAGGTACGCTAAAAAGGTAACTCGTGTTGCAGCTTACATTCAACGGAGGACCACAAAGTCCTTTGTTTGCGATAAAGCTGGATGGATCAAAACTGTGGAGCTGGGTGCTTGAAGGAATTCTCCCACTCAAGTTGTTGTGTGACAAGTTGAGGTGATTCAAGAATGTCAAACTTGCCAATCCTGGAGGGATTTTCCCTGAGATTCGGTTTCCAGATAAGTCCAAGGATTCCAGCGATCCCATGGCAGCTATTTCCCCGGGGATCTCACCTGACAGTAAATTATGAGACATGTTCAGGTACTGCAAGGCCATTAGCTTCGTCATCTGCTCCGGAAACTTTCCTGATAGCTTATTCCAGGAAAGGTCCAAACTCCTGACGTAATTCAGTATGGTGCTGTAACCCTTAACCTGCCCTTGTGTCACCAGGAATTGATACTCCACGAATGATTTCGCCCCGCCAAAGAAGAGGTATATTACTCCTTCTGCATCACTTTTGGAGCTGTTTGCCATGGCGCTGAAATTGGAAATACATTCTGGCAATTCGCCTGAAAGCGAGTTATGAGAAAGGTCCAAGATTTGCAGGAGCTGGAGACGACATAGCTCTTCAGGAATATTTCCATGCAACTTATTCCCTCGAAAGTTGATGATCCGGAGACTCGAAAGGGTTTTCCCCATCCACTCTGGTAGCATACCTTCCAACCTGTTATCGGCCAAGTCGATAGATACTAGACTAGTGCAGTTACTGACTGATGAAGGGATTTCATTGGCCAGGCTGTTATTCTGGAGACGTAGTGAAACAAGGGAGGTTAAACTTCCAATTGACCTCGGAATCTTACCTTTCAAGTTGTTGCTGCCCAGCCTCAAAACCCTCAAGTTCTGCCAACTCCTCCAGCAATCGGGTATCTCTCCAGAGAGAAAGTTGTCTTGAAGGTTAAGAAACTCTGTGTCCCTCGCCTGAGTTGGATTAAAGCACAAGAACTTTAGCAAGTTCCCGGTAAATAAGTTGCTGGAAAGGTCCAATGCAGTAAAATTGGAGGAGATAACCGGTAGAGGCCCCTCCAATCTATTCCAACTGAAGTCAAATAACGAGTCAAAGGAACTAACTGAGATAAATTTTGGAATCCGTCCAGGGATTTGGTTATGTGACATGTTCAGATAGTAGAACTGAGAATGCGTGCTCCAGAACCAATCAGGAATGGGTTCTGAAATTCCAGAGTCGGAGAGATCAAGAGACTTGAGATACTGAAACCCTTGGAGCCATTTGGGGAAGGCAGGTCCGAGGTACCAGGAATTCAAGTGCAGTATCTCGAGCATCTTGGGTGCAATCCAATCTGGTCTACTTTCCAACGTCATCCGATTCCCAGATGCAAAGAAACAAGCCAGCTTCGTGAGTTTGGCGAAGTGGATGTCAGGGGAGATAACACCTCCCATAGAGTTGAGAGAAATATCAACCCACGTCAACTCGGAAAGTTCCCCAAAACTTGTGGGAATTGTCCCATTGATCTGGTTTCTAGCGAGGGTTACATATGTCAAGGATTTTAGTTCCCCGAATGACATCGGAATTGGTCCAGAAATGGAGTTAATCTGTAGGGAAAGGCGACTTAATCTCTTGAACTTCCTAATTTCATCGCTCAACTGACCAAACAGCTGGCACTCTGACAGCGACATTCGCTTTAGACTGGTAGAAGGACACTCTCCAAGGATTTCGAGCAACTCTGATACACTTTGATTCAGCCTTGTGCCTGACAGGTATAGTACACTCAAATGGCAGAGGCTTTTGAATGATGCTGGAATCCCTCCTTCAAATCGAAGACCCCGATTGTACGACAAATCGAGAGTAACCAGAGATGTCAGGTTCCCAATGGAATTAGGAACCCTGCCTTCCAGCTTATTGGCAGAAATGTCGAGGTACTCGAGGTGGCGAAAACTGAACAACCAATTTGGCAAGGGACCATTGAACTTGTTTGAAGACAGTGTAAGATATATGAGGGAGGTAAGGTTTTGAAGCTCCCCTGGAATTGCACCTTGAAGGTTGTTTCCTACTAGATCCAAGGAAGTCAGGCTTGTCAATTGAGAAACCCAGCTTGGAAATGAAGTCGGACCAAATTGATTCGTGGACAGATCAAGAGTCGATAACGATGATAGGTTGGCTCTTGCTAAAGGTGGGTTATGTGGAATTTGGCAGCTTGACAGGTACAATTCTGTAAGAGAAGGGAGAGTGTTTATCATGTTGAGCCAATCGGAAGCATTGCTGAGATTCACGTAACTCAAATCAAGGTATTCTAGCGAAGGAAGACCAGAAAGCCACCGCAAACTATCAGCATATGGCGCATCCCCAACATCATCACCAGCAGCAGCCCGGAGGCCAAGTTGTTGCAAGTTGGAGAGATTCCCAAGTTGATGAGGGATGAATCCCCCAAATCCAGACTCGTCAAGGAAAAGAGATTTCAAGCTGCTCATGGAGCCAATAAATCCTGGAATCGGAGTCCCTTGGAAATTGTTTCCTGACATGTCCAGATAACTGAGGTGCTTCAACTTGAGTAAGGAAGGACTGATCTTACTCTTAAATGTAGAATCCTCGGAACATTGAGGACAATCCAGATGGAGCTCAGTGACATGACCAGTGACGTTGTCGCATACGACGCCAGGCCAATTGCAGCAGTCTCCGTTGCTGCCTGCAGCTCGTGGAGAGAGCCGGCCTGAAGGGTCTTGGAGATCGGCCATCACTCTGGAAAGAGCTTCTCTTTCTGATTCCCTGCAGCTGCTTCCTGCTCCGAAAGTTGGATAATAGCACAAACTCATCCAGCTTAGTGAAACAAGAACCACTGCTGGAATAATCATGGAGTTGCAGCGGAAAAAAATGCAGCAGAGCAAGAATGTGAGTTCTTTTATTTGAAAGTTGGGTTCTTTTTTCGCAAAGGAACTGCAAGTGCATAACCCTGTCAACGCACTGGAGACTTTCTATCGTGCTTTTTCTGAATGCCGACTTTATTGTTTGCTTTGGTCTTGTTTTCTTCCATTTGGATTCAGGAATCTGCCGACTTCCATTGGGAAGCTGCTGATCATTTTCATAAACCTATTGGTTGACATGTTCAAAATCTCCCTTCAAGTTCTTCCGTACGAACAAAAAACATAAAGGGCCCCTTTTCGGCAAGTTCCCATTGACATCATTCATTGACTAACAAAATAGTATCAACAGATACCGGCCAGCCGAATGTTGATGTCGACATATAATTTACCTTTCGTGCTGATCAGTGGAACATATTTTTACTTCATCCTCTATCATATCGGTGTGCAATCAAACCTGAAATTCGAGTCACAGTCGAAGTAAGCATACCTAATCTGGAGATCCGGGTTGATAAAAACTACGGCCATCTCCATTGAAACCACTTCTTTCAAGTCCCCCTAGCAAAAAGAAATACTTCACATCCCGTTGATAAAGATACACAATTTGAAGTAAACGCCATAGCCAAAAGGACCCCTGTTATAGCGGAACGGAGCTCTAGGTAAAACAATCCCCGCTTTGTGAGAAAAACAGAGCAGAACGGAGCTTTTTCAAGAATGCTCGATTTGCTTACGCTGTCCCACACCTTCAAAAAAGACTCGTCTTCCGCGGCGGCGGCTCTGCCGCGCCTCTCCGCCATCCACGTTCTGATTCCGTCGCCGGATGACACGTCTCTTTGTTCTGAGATTGTGGTTCTCGTAATTCAGTCTCCTTCCTCTCTGCTTTACAACTGTATATATCCCACCCTCAGGTAACTAACTCTCTAATCCTCTGTTTCTCGTTTTCCTGTGTTTGGGTATTTGCCTTTGTTTTTGGGAAAGCCCGGCTTTACTTTTACAATTGATTCAATGGTATTGGGATCAATATGGTCATATCCCTTAACCTCCTCGGAATTGGCATGACACTAGTCGTGAATTTGATTGACTGTCCCTGTAGAGCTTTTATCTTTTTGGGGTTTATCAACCCAAATGAATATTTTTGTTGAGAAGGCTCTTCTGGAGATGGTACTCCAGTGACTGTGCTGCTTTTTGGACAGTGCTTTTTGGGGTCTCTGCCGGATCTGCCTCTTCGATGGTGGTCGACGACGGTAAGGTTTCTCTGATCCCAATTTCGGTGGCTCCTTTGATGACGCCCAACTTTGATTAAGTTCTTTCTTTTTAATTATACTGTTATCAAGGCCCATTGATTATTTGTCGGTTACTCTTTTTGTTCTTTTTGAATTTTATTTATTCATTTCCCTTTATTATATTATATATTTGTTTGTGATTATATATGTTATTTTTTTAATTTCATAAGCGGCATTTATCATCAAATATCAATGAGGTACCTCTGTCTTTTTAATGGTAGACTTTAATCTTTTTAGATAGAAAGTCTAGCACTATAGTGGATCCGTTTTGGGTTGACCACATTGCAGGATAATCTTATCGTTAAACATGAAGGAAGTGCAATCGACTTCATCAGTCTATCAGTTAAGCTCAATTGCTCTTGATAACTAATACATAGTATTAGTGATGTCGATTAAATGGTGACTCACTCATTATGTCTTAAAATCTTGTTTTGAGGGAATTCTCAACGGACCATTAAAGATGCTTAAGAGAGGAAATCTCCTATTCAAGAGCTGGCTCCATTACGAAGGAAGTTTTTTTTCTCTCTCTCTTCTTACACCCTTGTCAGTATCGTGTCTTTTGCTCTTCGGAGCTTTCATAGAGTTGTCCACCTTGTGGCATAACAAACTCTTTTATCGGGAGTCTGGTTGCATACGGGCTACCGTTCTTTATTATTGTCAGTTTTTTTATTATTGTTGTTCGACCTCTTGGAGCTTATCTTGGATAAGAAAAGACCCCTGTTAGAATCTTATGGAAGATAAAAGGAAACCAGAAAGAAAAGTTAACAAAGGGAAAGAGAAGGATAATGTTTTTTGCAATCGAAAATTCAAATGTCTATTCTAGAGACATGTCACATGTGTACCTAATGAATTGATTCTCTTTTTTTCTTCTTTTTTTCCACCATAGAAATTTATTTTCGCCATAATTTATGAAGTTAATGGACTTTCTATTTTGTTTTTAAAATGTTTTTCAGTGATGGTAATCTACCAGCTGACAAGTATATAATTTTGTGAATGAACATCACAATTAATGAATTTGGTAATAAGTATTGATATCACATGTATTAGACTATCTGGCTACGACGGGAAGTCACAAGGGTCTCGCTAGGGGCAACGCCCCGATCCACCGTGTATGGGCCAATACACGTTAAGGTTTCTGTTTTGGCATGATTTGTAAGTTGTAACCGTTTCCTTTACCATATTGGATTATGGTAAGACCACATGAAAAAGTACTATAAATACTTCTTATACTCCTCTATAAGTGTATCTCCTCGAAGTATAGCGAAAGTGGTTCTCTCCTGCCTGTGGATTGTGTTAGTGAACCATGTAAATCCGTGTGTTTTATTCGTTCTTGCTTTTGTTTTCTTGCTTTGTCGATCCTCCAATTCTCCGATCCGTAGGAAAGAGTCAAGACAATAAAGATAACCGGTCACGCCAAAAATATATTGTTCACGCAAATCTTATGTCCTCATGCAACTGATATTTCATTCACACCAAAACTATCTTATTCACACAAATATCTGATCATTGAAACAACATGGTAATTATCGGATATGAGTAACATAATTTTTGAAAAAAATCTTTTCTGCCATCCTCAAATTGATTCTATAAACTGTGTAACTTTTCTAACTTAGTAGCTTACCATTCACGTAATAAAGATTAATAATACTTCAGGTTATCAATTTGCGTGAATGGATAGCTAGAATCCCTTGAAATGGGTCTTATTGAGCTTGAAATTTGTATTCTTTATGTAAATGTTAATACTTTGCGTGATGGATAGTGATCTGCATGTATATTGTGATATTAATACAATCAAATGCAATCAAAGTTATAAAATTTCTAGATAAGTTTAGGATCGTATTACACAAGGTCTTTTAATAATAACTACTCACAACCAATTATCTAATGCTCAAACAAAGATTCAACATCAATCGATAGGTTGATGTTCCCTATATTTAGTGGTTTTTTAGATGCATTGTAAAGTAAAACATAAATTAAATGAGGAGATAAGTGAATGATACACAATTGATAAGAAAGTTCATCCTAGATGATCATACATCTCAATCTCAATAATGATAAGTATCGATGCATCTTCTATTATGTAAACCTATCCACGTTCCACTTAGGCCATCTTAATCGAGCTTTTGCTACATGCAAAAGAAATTATGACTAGCTAATGCATGCTTTCACTTCATGTCACTAGACTAATAAATCAAACAATATCATGTCACCATAGTAATGAGTAATGACGGTTTATAGCATTGATGATCTAAGTTAATTATCTAGCATTGTACTGAGTCGAGCATGGATGGTTGATCATTGCATTCCATACATGCCTAAGACAATGACACATCACATAAGACTATTTTCCTAACAACTTATCATGATATTGTAAACAATACTATGGTACCACATAATAGATGATGAAGGCATCACACAGTTAGGGCATAAAAAAGCTAAGATACTCGAATAACATAAGCATAACATGACTAAGGCATCTAAGGCATAAGCATCACAAGACTACGACATCCAAAGCTTAATTTTTGTATGATAATACGTGATTTAAAATAATCGACAACATGGCAACACTATAAATAGATAAAGATGTTAATGAAAATTAAAATATCTCTCATTTAACGTTGAATATTGCAGTACACTTGAAGAAACTTGTGTGCTAAATCTTTTTCAAGTGACATGGTTAATAACATAATATAATCAAAGGAATCATAATTGTCGAGTGACTTTATAAAATCCACGAAACAAACAAATAAATTGATTACACAAAATCAGCAAAGACCTTAACTATCTGTTATGTATTCAGTTTGAATAGCGCACGAAATAACAAAAGGAGATTTCAAAGAAGATGAGATTGAACCATCAATTTGAAGAGGATACCCCACATAGCATGCATTTTTTTTTACAACATCCAACATAACATACATGTTATGAATTGTTTCAACCTACAATACTAAATAATTTCAAGGGAAAAGAGATTAATGACATAATATGATTACACAAAATTTACGAAACAAACAAATATGAGTACACTTGAAGAAACTTGTGCGCCAAATCTTTTTCAAGTGACATGGTTAATGACATAATATGATCAAAGGTAGGGTTGGCAGAACGGTTTCCGGTTAGCAGTTAACCGGATGGTTTCAACAGAACCGACCGGTTTTCGGCTAACCGAAAAATCGTTTCTGCATGCATCGGTCGGTTGTCAGTAGAGATGGGAAGAGGTTCGGCTAGCCGACTAACCGGGGTCGGAAACCGGCGGTTAACCGGCTAACCGACCCCTTCCCTTTCCCCAAAACGACCCCGCTTCAATCCTCCTCCTCCCTAACTCGACTCCCTCCTCCTCTCAAATCATTCAACTTCCGCCGCTCAACATTATTTTGGACGAACAACTGGTCCAAGTTGGAGAGCCACAGGCGCTGGGATGATGAAGGAGTCCCTGAGCCAGACCCTCGTCGCCTTCTTCTCGGCGGCAGGGAGATTGGCCCGAGATGAATCCGACAGATTCGAAATCAACTGCGGTGGCCAAGACGTCCTTTACTCCTTTTCGTGGAGGTCGAAATCGGACTAACTGGTGGAGACACTAGCGGCGGCGTTCAAGTCCCCGCCGTCGCCGGTGGCGGCGGGGTCAGGAGGGAGCAGTGAGGTGTCGGAGAACGTAGGAGCGTCGAGGAGGTCGAGCCGGACGATGACGGGGCGTCGCCCGGAAGAAACGGCGGCAAGAACACGCATATCCGCAAGTCCCAAAGTGCACAGATGAAGTTCGAAGTGGAAGAGATAATTAGCAGCGGGGCGGCACTTAGGCCATCTCCGACGTTGCCGGCGGTCACGACCTGCGTGAGAGAAGTGGTTTGGTGAGAGGAAGAAGATGAGAGGAAGAAGGTGAGAGAAGAAGTGGATCGGTGAGAGGAAGAAGGTGAGAGGAAAAGAAGGAGAGAGAAGAGAAGTGGTCTGGTGGAGGAAGGGAGGAGAGAGGAGGAGATAAGGTTGGAGATGAGTGGTCCGGAATTTTTTATTTCTTTTTTTTTTATAGAAAATTTAGTTTTTCGGTTGGCCGGCTAACCGAGTCTAAAACCGAAACCGACCGGTCGGTTGGCCGGCTAACTGTGACCTATCTCATGGTCGGTGGTCGGCATCTGTAGGTGGTGGCTCGGTTTAACCGATAACCGGGTTTTTGGTTTTCGGTTAAACCAAAACCGACCGA